CAGGGGCAAAATAAAACAATAATTCACAACAACAGACCGAAACACTTTACTATTAACACAGAACGCGTTTTGCTAACCATGTTAGCATCATCACCAGATGGTTAAAACTGAGTAACTAACATCAGAGTTAACATTATACCTAGTTTGTCCAAAAATAGAATTCTGACAGTGAGAACAAGTATCTATTGTTCAGTGAGAACAGTTCTTCTGTCGTTGGGCTAACTATATTAATGATTTGGATTTTATTAATTAACATGTTTTTCATGTCACGATTTATAAGTATAAGAGTTATCAAAAGTTACGGTGAATCAAAACTAAAACAAATTTGATAAGAAATTGTTAAGAAAAGTGATTCATCTATTCTAAAATTATGCATCAAATTATGAGCACCATATTTTTATGAGCACCCAGTATAATATTAATCATGTCATAAAAATTTGAGTAAATAAAGTTTTTTATAACGTATATAAGAACGAATCGACGAAGATAAATAAATATGAATAATTGTTTGGTCAAAATTCTACCTAGGGAGATGCTTACAGTTCAAATAAATAAAATCTTTCTCCACTTTTCGGTACTTCAAAATATTTTTTAATACCGTTTGATAGAGAGTTATCCCAATTGTCAATTATAAACTTGTGTATAGTGCTAATAATAAATTACAACAATTATTAGATAATCCTAAAGATAAAACACCTCCACTGGAAAAGTCGGGTATTTATGAAATTTCATGTAAAGATTGTAATCAGAAATAGGTGGGGCCAACTAGAAGATCAATATTAACTGGATTTAAAGAACATATAGTTCAGATAAGATATGGTAGACCGGATAAATCTTGCGTTGCTAAACATATTGTTGATAAAGAACATTGTATAGATATCAATAATTTAAAATCAATTAAACAAGCCTCAAATTACAGGCAATCAGATGCATATGAGAGCGTCAAAATTAATAAATGTAAAGATAGTATGAACAGAAATAATGGCCCAATTCCTTCCAGTTCTCTGTTCCTACAGCTCTAGTTTCGGTAATCAATTGTTACGCCCACTCAGCCCACTCCTCTTTTAACCTAGCATTTATACAACACACTGTCCATTATTTTAACATTTATTTTGAAAAACCCTGAATTGCACTCTGCAAATGTCGTTTTTGATAGATAATTATAACTATTTCATTTCAATGATAACTATTATTATAAGTCTAGAACATTATACATAACACCTCTTTGAGTTTATCGTAGACTATAAAAATTCTGATGCCATTTAAAATTATCAGATTGACATATGCACGGGTATAAAAAGTTGGTATTGTAATCTTATAAATATTTTACAGCAATTGCCCATAAAGACATAAATATATCCTTAAATTTGTGTCCTTAAATGATGAATGTTAGACACCCAGTATATTAAACGAATTTGTTAAAAATGAGGTTTTTTATATGTACAGCAAAAAATATTAATGAAGCAATTAAATGTAAAAGACATTTAAATACCTACAACCACAAAAAAGAACAAGTAAAAAACGTTAAAATTGTTACCAAGAAAATCAGATCAAAGTTACACGGCTGAAACGTTCAAGCGATTTTTTTCTTATTAAAGTTGAAATGTAAAGAAGTCACGAAATAAATTTTCTCTATTTACATTCAATCAATGTTGCCGTGTTTATTTAAATGCAAAAGGTTTCGCGTAAAAAAGACCTTTTTCGAATTCCGCAAACGATAGACATGAAATGAGACTGATTCGGTTTGAAATTTTTATGAAGCCACAGTTTCAGTTTTATATTTTGAGAAATTGACGATATTTCAACATCAAAGGTTGTAGGGTTGTTTTATGTCGTTCAGTGAGCGTTCCAGCCTTCACCTCACCCGTAATATTCAAAAAGGAAAATGATATTTTTTATAAACAATTTTTGAGTTAAATAAAAAGTTTTTGCAATTTTTTTTATTTTACCTTTTAACAATGATTTATCCATGACAAGAGCCAAGCAAAGTCGCAGATATTACCACTAATTTTACCACAATACACTAAATCACATTTACTTCCAGTACAAAGGTAAAAGTATTTTGGTGTATTGCGTTAATTAATATTTTATTATTATCAAGGACATGGACATTTTTAACCATATTTTGTTAACCATGGTTGCTTGGTGAATTTGCCAGAACTCCAATGTAAAGGCAGATTCTGACGACTCGTGTACTTAGCAAGTACGCCAATATTTGCGTACTTAACAAGTATACTATCTTTGTAAACTTTTTTTGCAACAAGCTTGGCGCTCACGCAGCGCGATTAGTGGCAAATAATTATACAAGGAAACCGCTCACACAACATGGCAAGTATATCCCAATATCAAATGTTTGTACAAGTACACCGGTCGTCAGAGTCGGCCTTTAAGACATCGAGTTGGCGAGTCATCAATTTGGGGGAAGAGGGCCATCATTAGGTCCTCACAATAGGAATTCAGTACCTCAAATCCAAGGAGGCAATAGAGAAAGGGGGATAAATCCTCTATTATAGATTCGGGACAACACCGGCATCAGGACTAAGGAGAGATCAAGTTAAAGAATGGAGATAATGTAGACAGATCCTCCAGCCTCCACCTCACGGATACCTTAGCCGCAGACAAGCTCCGCGACTGTGAAGGGCACGGAAGGCTAAACCCCAAACCGTGGACGATGGGAAATATCATGACCACCCTACAACAGGAAAATCTACATGTATGATAATATAGTCTGTATGATGAGTTATAACTCATGAAAGGGGACATAATAGATCTTTATGGTCGCAGTGATTAACCCCTCTCCAGTGTTGCCAACTTTCTGAAATAGAAATTTCCACGAGGACGGTCAAAATTTTCCATTTTTTCTAAAAATTCCCACGAGTTCTCAACTCCAATACCTATAGTACCGTAAAAAAACGGCGTCCAGTTGGCTGGTATGTGATAATTAATGACATTTTTCCACGTCAAAAAACATACGCAGATCTTCATGACATGGGCTGGCATGGCGTAGCGTGGCGTGACGTGTGGCGTAATAGGGTCCCGGCTTTACTGTTTTATTTTGTCATTAAATACTAGCTATTTTTTCCATCACATTGTTACTGGATTCAATTAAACAACCTAATTATTAAATAAGATGATTAAAATCTTGACCCTGTCAAATGCTAACATACAATAATTATTATGTGTAGAATTCTTTACAGATATTTTATATTTTTAATGAGATGGAAGCATTCTAAATACGCAACACGCTTTATAAATTGAATTATGTTATTGCTTGGATTAAATTAGCTCTATATGAAGCACTTTAAAAAGCTCAGAAGAATAATGGAAGTATGTCACGTAATCCTGTTCCGTTTCTTATTTTCTTTCACAGAATATATATTTAAAATGTAGAAGACTTATTTAGTCAACAAGGCTACGTAACAGCAGTTCTACAACTAGGTAAAATTATAGGACCAAGAGTATTTCTTTTTAATAGAAAATATGGATTATTTTTATTAAATGTTATCAGAAATCTTACTTTTTAGAGTTTTATTTCTATAAATAATTAAAAAAAATTAAATAAAATAGAACCTGACTAGAAAAATTAGAGTATCTACCTAATATATATAATATGAAGAAAAAACTTTGTTCAGATAGCTTTGAAATGGCGATCCATGATTAAAAAATAACTAAGGAAACTTTTTTTTGATTTAATTTCAACGTAATTTCATTTAAACGTAGGTTTTTTCATTTCAACGTAATTTCATTTAAACTGTTATACAGTTGGCCAAAATATTACCTTTTCAACTTTGTTGATGGACCTTGGGTTATTATACTACATTCAGATAACTTAAAAATAGAAATACCTACCTCCTATCATCGGGAATAAAACATTTTCAATCAGCAATTACATTTGATGATATCATAAGCGCATCGGCAAATACACTTCATTTATCAAAAAAATGACAACTGGGTGAAAAATTACTGACAAAGCTAAGATAAATGTGTTATTGGACAAATGAAATGTTATAAAAAGCGAATGAAGGGATGTGGAGTAATTTTGTATTTAATCAACTTTATTTCGTTTTGCTAACATCGGAAAGTTTATTTCTGCAATGAAGCTATGTAGATGATAATAATAGTCGGCCGAACTGAACAAGGTTTTTGCGGTTCAGTTTTGATTTGTTTTTGGTTAGACACTGATTTATAATTGTGTTGGACGTGATTTATGAAATATCTATAAATTTATGGATGTTTGCGGTTTATATATTAATACCGGTTTTTATTTATTTAACCGATAGAGATAGGTACATGTTTTTCTCAAATTCATTTTCTAGCCGGTTAATTTGTAATAAACCAATTTGAAAATTTAATATTTTTACTAATATTTAAAATAGTTTTTTAGTTAAAAAACCCTATCCTAGATACAACAAAATATTTTTAGTATATGCACCTTTATAAACCATTTATACTAAGGGTGGGCATTTCTGGTCTTGGGTGCCGGTTTTCATATGTACAAAGAGTATAGTCAACACGCTTAGTAAAATAAGATGTACTGAATAAAGACAGAAGGCGAGTTCCAAGCACATGGAATCTAGCGTCAGATTAAGTAGTTATGTAATAAATATTTCGTATTTTTGCTCACTCCGACTTACTAGGTTGCCATAACGACTCACTCCTATACATGTAAACGCCGACCTTTAAAGGTTCGCTTGCCAGCGGGGTATACAACTATTTATATAAAACTTTTTTTTCTTCTTCGACAACTCTTGGACTTCTTCGCACGAATAGGCCATCTTGTATATAATGTTCTATTTGAATTTTTTATGCTACAATAGAAAATGACACAAATTAATTTCTAATCGAAAAACATACATATTTTAATCTTGATTTTTAAGTGATAGCTACAGAGTAATCAAAAAGTGTTTCTATTTTTGTATTGTATTTTAGTTTGCCATTTTTTACAATTAAATCCTGGACAATGTTTAAACAAATGTAATATTTTCTTCATTTTGTTGCAGTTTCTGGACCAGATTACGAGGGAGCTAATCTGGTATGCAGTGGCGGAAACTTGCGCGCTCGAAGATCTCGTCCGGCCGGTCGCGCACGCGCAATATGCTCTGTTGTGGCCGCAGGAAGGTAAGTCACTACGGCACTAGCTTCAGTGCTGCCAGGTCTGGTGAAATTTCACCAGGTCTGGTGATTTTCGACCCCATTTTGGTGAAATGGTGAACATTTTTTGAAAAAGCCTTTTTTTCTGGTGATTTTTGGACACTGGCTTTTATTAAAAAAATACACGATTTTATTATGAGTTTACATTCAAAACGTGACAATGATTATTGTACAAAAATAGAACAAATATACTTATTAAACTAAGTTTCAGGGAGGAAAATTAATTAACTTGAGAATTGACTTAAATTTTGACTTTTTTAGTAAGCTATACAGGGTGCGTCTCAAAAGTGGCTCACCCCAAAAACAACCCCTCGATAAACCCTGTACAATATGCCAAATATTAAAGTTTATAAAAAACTGAGTGTACGAATTAAAGTTGATATAATTATATACAGTTTGCTAAAAAAATCATGAAAATAGGGCTAAAAATAACAAAAATATAACACTTTTTTATTAAATTTAACCAGAATTTTCTCCGTTGCGTTTTTTTTTGCATCGTTTATATTTCATATATAAATATAGTGCTAAAAAGTAATTTTAGTGAAAAATTTGAATTACTTGAACACATCACGTTTAGAGGTAAAATTTGTATCCCCTCGTACTTATAGCAGACTTATTGAAATTCCGCTTCTGTAAATATAATATTTCATCGTATATCGATTAATGTGTGTGTAGCAGACTCGCTCAGAAAATATATAAATATTTAACTCGGCGAAATGCCAGGTTTAAAAATATAACTAATAAGTTTCCTTCACCTGCAGCCTGAAACGTGTATAGTAGAAATTGAGAAAATATTTATGAAAGTCAAATATTATTCGACGAGATAGTTATATAAATAACATAATTTTAACGTAACATAAATTTAACGTAGTTAATTAATTCAGTTTTTCATTGTTTCAAAAGCTTTGTTCATTAAGCAATTTTTATTAAGCTTATATTGTTTTTTAGGGCTCTAGAGTACTTCATCAATAAGTTTAAATAGGCCATAGGCCCAAGCTTCATTTTGTTCATTTAGTTAGCAGTGTTATGATTAAAATTCCAGTTCAAAGATTGCCTTTGATAATCGTCTAAAATATTATTTTTGTTTTATTGGCGTATTGTAATGATTCTTCTTGCTGTTTGCAATTGCTTGTTGTATTCCGGTATTTCCTAAAGTTTTATACAGGGTGGTCCGAACGGTATTCCGGAAACTTCGGCAGCATATTCTGCAGATAAAAATAAGTAAAAAAGTTCGTATAAATGTATGTCCCAAAATACTTACTTTCGAAGATACAGGGTGTAGAAGTTTCAATTTTATTTCGATTCATTCCAAATAATTTCTGAAGTAACGTCAATTTTTTAATGAAAATTGGTGTCTGGGAGTTTTTTGACATGAGAAATTTGATTTTGATGTCCATATTACTCCTATTTGTAGGGGGTGCCACCTACATGTGTTTTAACTTTTTTAAACATTAATAACTTTTCGTCCGTGCCTCTATAAAAATACTGAGTAAAAAAATATACATTTCCGTAATTTTCTACGTAAAAAATGTCTCTTCGTAAAAATCGCTACAAGTAACCGTTCTCAAAATATTTAGAATGGAAATAGTCAAAACATGTCATTATTGACAAACAATAAACACGTTGAGTAGGTAGTTATTTGACTGAAATAATAAATTTGAGAAATTTTTATTTTTTTAAATTAATTATAAATTATTCTGCAAAAAAACGATGATAAAACAGTTTCTGTTGAACTTTTGACACAAAAACATTTCAGATTTATGATTTCAGTCTAATAACTATTGAGTTAACACGTTTACTTTGTCAATGATGACTGGTATTGATAATTTCGATTCTAAATATCCCGAGCACCTTTACTCGTAGCGATTTTTGTCAAGAGACCTCTTTTATGTAAAAAACGTCGTAAATGTATACTTTTTTACTCAGTAGTTTTATACAGGTGCGGACGAAAAGTTATTAATCTTTAAAACAGTTAAAACACATGTAGGTGGCGCCCCCTAAAAATAGGAGTCATATTGACATCAAAATTAAATTTGTCATGTCAAAAAACTCCCAGGCATCAATTTTCATCCAAATATTGACTTTACTTCAGAAATTATTTGGAAAAAATCGAAATAAAAATGAAACTTCTACAGCCTATATCTCCAAAAATAAGCATTTTAGGACATATATTTATACGAACATTTTTACTTATTTTTATCTGCAGAATATGCTGCCGAAGTTTCCGGAATACAATTCGGACCACCCTGTATACCGGGTGAGTCTTAAATAAGTGCAAATATTTACAGGGATCCTAGACCTCAATAAAAGAACCATTATTTTTTTACCGTTTTTCAAATAAATGTGTAATACGAAGTAATTTTATTATACATGGTTTATCATACAATAGGTTTGTATAAATCTGTATTGAGCTTTTAGCATGTATAGTAAGACCTTTCGGTTGCCTAAAATAAGATGATAGAATTCTTTTTTTGACATTTTATTTTTGGACTTCTTTACCTCTAGCCCATGCGATGGAATTTTGATTTTACTTCTTGGTGATAGACAATAATCTGGAAGGGTCTAATATATTTTTGAAGTGAATTTTTTTACGCGGGTTTGTAGCTTCTGAATAACGGTCTAGGTAAAGCATCTAGCTCATTTACCAGCTCAGAATTTAGAGTAACTCGGATTTTCATTGAAGGACACTCAAATTTATTTCAAACCAATAATCAACGAGAATATTCGTATAATTTAATAAAATTACTGTAAATCACTATAAATAATGAATTGTTGTAATGAATCCGGTAAATGATGGAGATAAATAATTGTGATTGATTAAAATTTTATGTTAGGATGAAACTTTTGTTCACAATATTCTGAGAATTCGAATAATCAATTAAATGACTTCATGAATGAATTAATTGAGTGACAATTTGGTTATGTAAAATTTAGAGTGACAATTTTGATTACGCAAAAGAAATACGACATATTCTATGACTTTACTGGTTGCCTAACGATTAACATTAATTTAAAAATAAATCCTCAACATGAATATGAATAATGAACAAAACGTTTAAACAAAAACAGACCACTCTGAACAAATAATAAAAATTAATTAATTATAATAAAAATTATTTAATTGTATTAAATTAATTACATAGAAACACCAACGCCAACCCAGCAAAATATTTTTTCTACTCGTATAAATTCCCTGAAATAATAACTTCTGAATATTTTTTAAAACGTAACTCGCTATGGAAAAAAATATTGTTTTTATACACGACGATAAAACTGCATTATCGTCTCCCGAAATTAATTCAATTTTTTTGGTTGACGATAAAATACCATTTTATCGTCTTGTATAAAAAATAACTAGAATTAAATATGAAAAAATATAGATGTATATGTTTAATTATATTTAAATTAACAAAATAAATATATTTTAAACTATTTTTTTATCAATCAGCTTGTTTCATTACTGTGGCCACGGCCAATATTCCCCGCTCACCCCTGCGATTTATACGGTCAGTTCAAATGGGGCCATTTCGATGCCAGAAACCACATCCATGAGAACGTATCCGGGAATATTCCGGTCAGAATTGCCACGACCACTGGCAATTTAGACGGTTTTACGGTCAACGTTCGCCGATAACAAATATAAAAGTATAAATTCAGATCTAATCGTCGACTTCAGTTTAAAGGAAACGGTTTCAGTTTAATTATTAAGGTCGTAAATATACGAGGCTGTTAATAAATTAGGACGAAAAAATCAGCAAGTGTTTTACTTTTTGTTTTCCATGTTTGGTGTGGTCCTAGAAAACTATTTTATTTTCTAGAACATACTATATCTCTTTCTGAATCTAAAGAAACATACATTTAAAAAAAATCAGCAAAAAAATTCATTGATTATGGTAAAACATTCTAAATTAATTGAATTCTTGAAGAGAAGGGGCCTAGACTTGTATGACATAAAAATAATTGAAAATTTATATTAGAATTAGACAGCTACTGGGAGGATGGAATGCGGAACAACGCCGTCGGCAGCAATAAAAAGAGGAGTAAGACAGAGTTGCGTACTGTCCCCGCTTTTCTTCACTATGTATTCAGAAGATATTTTTTTCACAGGCTTTAAGTGGCTGCGGAATGGGTGTTAAGGTGAATGGGGAGATCTTAAACAAATAGACTTACAGTAGCTGGGAACAAATAGGGACTGAACATCAATGTTCGTAAAACCAAAGTCATGGTTATTTCTAAAAAAGGACCTCAGCCCACAAACAAAAGTAAACCACAATAATATAGAACAAGTAGTCAAATTCAGGTACCTTGAATGGTGGAACACTGATGATTTGGATCAGGATGTAGAGGTTAAAGCCAGGACAGATCAGGCTCGTAGCACATTCGTCAAAATGAAACTATTCTTTTGTTTGACTACAATGTAGAAGATCGACGTCTTTGAAATGTGGTTATCTCGTCGGATGCTGAAGATATCTTGGACGTAGCACATGCCAAATGATTCCGTATTACACTGCATGAACCAAGAGAGAGAGAGAGAGACAGCTTCTAAATATAACAAAGAAAAGAAAATCAGCATACTTTGGTCATATTCTGAGAAACGTCAAATACAATCTATTACACCTTATCATCAAACGTAAAATTGAAGGGAAGCGAGGCCCAGGCAGAAGACAGATGTGGATGAAAAACAAAAGGGATTGGACAGGAATGAATGTCCAAACACTCGTCAGAACAGCAGAAAGACAAGAAGAATTCGCTGTGGTTATTGCCAATCGTTGTTGAGAAGAGGCATCTCAAGAAGAAGAAACAAAATATCAAAATAAAACTATTTTAATGTTTTATTATTTTGTAATTTTAATGCAGGGCACGATATTTTTAATAGATATATATTTAAATATTTTTTAAATGATATTAATAATTAACTTTCTAGATTTCACTCCTTGACTTTGCTAAAATTTTCACATAATCCTGAA